AGTTTCAATAGCTCTAGCTCCAGTTAGCTCTAGTTTCAATAGCTCTAGCTCCAGTTAGCTCTAGTTTCAATAGCTCTAGCTCCAGTTAGCTCCAGTTTCAACAGCTCTAGCTCCAGTTTACGTGGTAGGCACAGCACTTTGTGAACATCCATGTGCAGATTTCGTGGCGGGTGCAGCACTTTGTGAACCTCCATGTGCAGATTGCGTGGCGGGCGCAGTACTTTGTGAACCTCCATGTGCGGATTTCGTGGCAGGCACAGCACTTTGTGAACCTCCATGTGAAGATTTCGTGGCAGGCGCAATACAAAATGCATTTTCGAGAGGTAGCGGACGCACGAAATGCTGCGTTTTTCAATAGAAAGGGTTGCTCCGAAGCTGGCAAGTCAAGCTTTGCAGAACGACGTGTGCGAGACGGTCTCGGGTCATGCTCGGATCATGGTCGGATCATGCTCGGAATCGTCCCTCCATTGTGATTAGAGTTTTCACTTGTTTCTTGAAGTGCAGATTTCGTCGCAAGCACACCACTTTGTGAACCTCTAGGTGCAGATTTCGCGGCAGGCACAGCACTTTGTGAACCCCCATGCGCAGACTTCGTGGCAGGTGCAGCACTTTGTGAACCTCGAGGTGCAGATTTCGTGGCAGGCGCAGCACTTTGGGAACCTCCATGCGCAGACTTCGTGGCAGGTGCAGCACTTTGTGAACCTCCATGTGCAGATTTCGTGGCAGGCGCAGCACTTTGTGAACCTCCATGTGCAGATTTCATGGCAGGCGCAGCACTTTGTGAACCTCCATGTGCAGATTTCGTGGCAGGCACAGCACTTTGTGAACCTCCATGCGCAGATTTGGTGGCAGGCACAGCACTTTGTGAACCTCCATGTGCAGATTTCGTGGCAGGCGCAACACTTTGTGAACCTCCATGTGAAGATTTCGTAGCAGGCGCAATACAAAATGCGTTTTCGAGAGGTAGCGGACGCACGAAATGCTATGTTTTCCGAAAGAGAGGGTGCCTCCGAAGCTCGCAAGTCAAGCTTTGCAGAACGACGTGCGAGACGGGTCTCGGGTCATGCTCGGATCATGGTCGGATCATGCTCGGAATCGTCCCTCCATTGTGATTAGAGTTTTCCCTTGTTTCTTGAAGTACAGATTTCGTGGCAGGCACAGCACTTTGTGAACCTCCATGTGCAGATTTCGTGGCAGCCACCGCACTTTGTGAACCTCGAGGTGCAGATTTCGTGGCAGGCACAGCACTTTGTGAACCTCCAGGTGCAGATTTCGTGGCAGGCGCAGCATCTGCGGAGCTGGAAGATGAGAACTGGCGACTTTGTAGTACAACTTTAGTACGCGGAGCAATCTGTGGAGCTGGAAGCTGAGAACTGGCGACTTTGTAGTGCAACTCTAGTACGCGGAGCAATCTGGGGAGCTGGAAGCTGAGAACTGGCGACTTTGTAGTACAACTTTAGTACGCGGAGTATCTGGCGAGCTGGAAGATGAGAACTGGCGACTTTGTAGTAAAACTTTAGTACGCGGAGTATCTGGGAAGAAGTGGCGACTTTCCAGTACAACTTTAGTACGTGGAGCAATCTGTGGAGCTGGAAGCTGAGAACTGGCGACTTTGTAGTGCAACTTTAGTACGCGGAGTATCTGGGGAGCTAGAAGATGAGAACTGGCGACTTTGTAGTGCAACTTTAGTACGCGGAGCAATCTGTGGAGCTGGAAGCTGAGAGCTGGCGACTTTGTAGTACAACTTGGAGTATCTGGGGAGCTGGAAGATGAGAACTGGCGACTTTCTAGTACAAATTTAGTACGCGGAGCAATCTGTGGAGCTGGAAGCTGAGAACTGGCGACTTTGTAGTACAACTTTAGTACGCGGAGCAATCTGGGGAGCTGGAAGATGAGAACTGGCGACTTTCTAGTACAACTTTAGTACGCGGAGTATCTGGGGAGCTGGAAGATGAGAACTGGCGACTTTCTAGTACAACTCTGTGGAGCTGGAAGATGAGAACTGGCGACTTTGTAGTGCAACTTTAGTACGCGGAGCATCTGGGGAGCTGGATGATGAGAACTGGCGACTTTGTAGTACAACTTTAGTACGCGGAGCAATCTGTGGAGCTGGAAGATGAGAACTGGCGACTTTGTAGTACAACTTTAGTTCGCGGAGTATCTGGGGAGCTGGAAGATGAGAACTGGCGACTTTGTAGTGCAACTTTAGTACGCGGAGCAATCTGTAGAGCTGGAAGATGAGAACTGGCGACTTTCTAGTGCAACTTTAGCGCGCGGAGCAATCTGTGGAGCTGGAAGCTGAGAACTGGCGACTTTGTAGTACAACTCTAGTACGCGGAGCAAGCCGTGGAGCTGGTAGCTGAGAACTGGCGACTTTGTAGTACAACTTTAGTACGCGGCTGAGTCATCTCTATTCTGAATTTTGCAAAATGCGAGACAGTTGACGGTGGTTGCTTCGCTTTCGCTCCATTGGTCGATTCCAACTTGTTTTGTCAAAGAACATCGCAGCTCGGCGAATCAGCCTGCCACATCGCCGGCTTGCCCGGGAACTACTTGTACATGAATATTCTGCAATCGGTAGAATGCTTGTTCGATTCCCTTTCCCTTGTGGCCCCCCTTGTTGTCTCCGCATTACCCCCACTTCCCGTCCCCTGTTCCAGCACAATGCCCACACCTTCTCCTTGTTACCATCATATTGCCCTTTTTGCCCATCATCCGTTTCACAATGAATCTCAAAAAAAACCTGTGAGAGTGAAGGCGAGAGTGAGGGTGAGGGCAAGAGAGTGTGAGTGAGGGGGGGGGAGTGAGAGAGCGAGTCCTCACTTGGCTGACGTGATCCCGATCAACAGCCATTTCGTATCATGCAATCTTCGGGCTGGTTGCTGAATAAACGCACAATATACCCGAAGGGTCGACAGCTTCTAGAAACATTCCAATTTATCACTTAATTGTTGCAACTTCACATGAAATGTCTCTCCTCCCTCTTTCATGCCCGATAACATCTGGCTACCCCATCCACAGCAGGGCCTTTCGCAGAAAGGACTTGCCCAAACTGCAAGATGAGCAGTGCGCCATGTTTCCAGCCATTGCGCACCGGTGAACTTTGTTCTTCCGCTTGGCAAGTGGATGGATTAGGGCATGCAACGAACGGATCTAGACCTACGAGCTAAGGGCCACTTGCACCACATATTTCAATAGGTATATCTATAGTTATCATATATCTAAGATCAGCATGTTGTGAAACATGGAAGCAAAATGAAGCAAGTGGCCAATTGAAATGAACCCCAAGCTCTTACAACCTAATAAATGTTTGATTATGTGACCCCGTGACCCCGGGTCGCATGCTACACCTGCTGCCCAAAGGAGAGTGACTCACCCAAAACATACGCAACATACAGTGTTCGGCCGGGTCAAGCCCTCCAAAACATAGAAAAACAACATGATCCTTGATGAGATGTGTTCCCAGCTCAAAAGGTCTGTTCGGACTGTTTGGAGTTCTGGAATCGATGGCTTGGACCGGCCCGGCACAATGACGGCCTGGTCAGAACGGACGGTGACAGCCTCGTCGTCCCCATTTCCCGCGGTGGAGCTTTCCCCGGTCTGAATCGGTGTGCGAGAGTTCTGGAAATAGATCATGCACGGCAGCGGCACAGCGGCATATTTGCGCAAGGGCTGACCGGTCGCCACTGCCGGTTCCGTGCTTCAAGAAACTCTGGTCACGAGGTGTGCGCAGGACGAGCTGGAAACCCATCTGTCGCATCTCATGGCAATCGAAGTGCTTTTGTGGCACATGGCAAAACTGGGAACATCGACGTTTCCAGCAGGTCGTCCCTGAAAAAAGACTCTGGCTTTACTACTAGTAGCAAGGACGCTACTAGGGGCTCCTGGCCTTACTACTAGGAGCAAGAAGCTACTAG